TTCTCAATCTCACTTGGCACTAGAGAAATTCTTTTGTTCTCGTTTTCACATTGCGATTGTTTCTATATCGTTTATCATTAGTAATTGCATTTCTAATGGCCATTTATGACTGAATTTTGTTACTTTTGGTTCAGAAAGAAATTTTCAAATTGAATTCATGTTATTAAGAGAGAAAAGTTTTCAACTCAGTAAGAAAATCCAGGTACTGTGTTTCCCCAAAAGTTTTTTACATCTTTTTTTCTGTATGATGAGTGTAGTAGTTCTTAGATTAACTTAATTCAAAACAATTTTGTTAAATTGTATTGTGACAGCTGTCATATAAGCATTCATTTAAAAAAACTCTCAAAATTGGTGAATTTTTGTGCAGCTATTTTAATATCGAAGAAGGAAGAAAATATGCAGCATTTTTAGTGTATTATGCTTTTTTATTTCAAAAAAGCTAAAAACACAACTGAAATGCATAAAAAGACTTGTGCAGTGTATGGAGAAGGTACTGTGACTGATCGAATGTGTCAAAAGTGGTTTGCAAAGTTTCTTGGGACTATTGACATTTTGGCCAAATAATTCTTTGCTGTGGGGCTGTCTTATGCATTGCAGGATGTTTAGCAGCATAATACAGTTACAAGCTCTGAGTGGTTCTTCCCATACTGCCAATGAGAAAAGCCCCAATAAGCTTTGGGTGTGATTTAACTATATGTCTGTGATATTTTCATAATCTCAGATTTTTATGGGATTTGGGACCACATTTTTATTATGCCTCCAGTGAGCTACATTGTGAATTTTGTTGGGATAATAATTAAGGTTTCTCCATTGTATTTGGATTGCCCCAGAAGAGATTCTCCATTTGACAGGTGAATCAAATCAATAATATTATTGTTCATTATAAGTAACAATAGTCCACCAAAAGAAAGTGTATCTTCCTAGGTATATGAACACACATACTCTGTCCCCATCGCCTGACACATGCCACAGACTTCCACCACCCTTTTTTGTGTTGTTCATTTTGTTATTTGGAAAGGTTTTCCAGTTTACATAGCAGTTATGAGTCTTTCTACCTAGACCTATTTCACTAGCTGTCCCAATAGTGTCTTTTATAACAAAAGGACCCAGTCTGGGAACATGCTTTGCATTTAGTTGTTGTGCAATGTGATTCTTCATCAAACCAGAGTAAGTCCTTCTTTGATATTTATGACTTTGACTCTTTCAAAGTGTAGAGGCCCATGATTTTCTAGAATGTTCTTGAGTTGGTTTGTCTGATATTTCCTAGTGATTTCATTCAGGTGTTTTTTTGGCTGTAGTATTATAACAGTGATACTGTGTTCTCATTGAATCAGGAAAATCTTTCCCTTCTCTCCACTTATTTATTCACTCTTATTTATATCACTCTGGGCACATTCCTTTTTATTCAATGATATATAGTGTGCCACTATCATTATTTGTTTGATAATCAAACTGTCTCAGAATTAGCTAGGGGGAGCCCCATCAATATGGCTTCTGAAACATCCCCATCATTCTTTGAGTGCATCTTAATTTTTGCTATAATAAGACATTCCAGACATGTATTTTCTGTTCCAATCTGAATTGAACTATTTCTTTGAGATGCTCTAGTTCCTGGTATTTACAAGCCAAGTTCTGGGCATTTAATGCATACTATGCTATGGAGGTGTTGTTGGTCCCAGAACCTCCCAGGGAACAGAGCCCTGGAAATATATTGAAGTATATGAACATAGGGATATTTTAACGCATACAGACACTTTTACTTATATATTCATCTATCTATCTAATCATCTATCTCCATAAATTCTCACTGATACATTCAGTTCTAAACAAAAAATAGAATTCATTCTAGCTTTCCTCCTTTTAAATTAGTAACTCCTTTTTCAGGCAGTGAAGAACCTGGCTGCAATTCACATCAATATATTTATTTACTTGATCAGTCTACCTATATTTAACAACATTCTGATTGCTCTTTAGCCATATTGCTCACTCAGGAACCTAAGTTCTTGCTGCTCTATCAGTCAAACCATTGGCCTTTAATGTAAATAATTCCCCGTGTCTGTTAGTTCATATTCCTTCTCTCTGTCTCTGTGAGCATATGTACATATGTATTGAGTTGGCAAAACAATCATTTATTTGTTTTCCATATGATAGCTCTAGTAGTGCTTAGTTGTCTTTAACTTCATCAGAGACAATTTTGTTAGATTGTATTTTGATACCTGTCATATCGGCATGCCTTTAAAAACTTATTAAAATTGATTAATTTTGTGAAGTCATTTTAATATTGAAGATGGAAGAAAATATGCAACATTTGCTTTATTATTTCAAGTATGGTAAAAATGCAACTGAACTACAGAAAAAGATTTGTGCTATGTGTGGAGAAGTTGTAACCAATTGAATGTGTCAAAAGTGGTTTGCAAAGTTTCTTGCTATTATTGAAATTTTGACCAAATAATTATTTGCTGTGGGGCTGAATTATGCATTTGAAGATGTTTAGTATCACCCTTAGCCTCTACCCACTAGAAGCTAAGAGTGGAGACAGCGGACACATTAAAAATATCCAAATAAATAAAGTTATCGGTGAAAACATGAAATGTGTCTTTTATTTTACAGAAAAAAAATGTAATGAACTTTTTGGCCAACCTAATATAAAACTGGCAATTTAATGGCAGGTAAATACTGTTTTACCTCATGGGCATGGTATAATCATAAACTGATTAGAAACTTAATTTAGAAATGAATTAAGTAGACTATGTCTTCAATTAATGAACAAGTTAAATATTGTAGTGATAGAAATATCTATTATTCATTACTTTCAGGATGCAATTACTCTTCAAATAACAACAATATTTAAATATTGGTCGATTCTTCCTTATTAGGAACCATCTTCTACATGATTACTTCCAATACATTTTTGTAAATATTCTAAATTCAAAGTGGATTTGAATTTAGACCCACAAAAGTGGGTTTTGAAACTTTTGAGAAAATGTCTATCAGGCTATTGATTTTTCACAAAGGCAATTTTTTAAAATATCTGCAAATGCAAGAGATTCACATGATGTAAGGAAGATAAAATTTGTATCAACTACTAATAACAAAGGTTTACAATGTGTTTGCATTGCAAATAGTATGCAAGTCACTAAGTCAAACTTTTATGTTATCAGAGTAAATTGTCTATATAGTTGCTGAAAAAAATGTATTGAAATGCTTGGGGTTGCATTGCTATATTGTTGTCAAAATCTGAGGTATGGCTTCATAGGAGTTTGCTTGCAGGCTATGTGTTTACTATTTCCCTGTAATACAGTTGTTGTTCAGTGCTTAAATTGCTCTATTTGTGCTCTAGTATTTGCATTTGCATTACAGACAACAGTGTGAGGGACGTTTCTTATTAGTGAAACATCTACATTGATTTCTTCTTGCTCTTGTGTATCATGATTATAAGAAAGTTGAAGCTCTGATATGGACACACCTTGACATATTTATGAGTTCTTCTTCTTTAGTGTTTACTCATTAAGATCATTTATGAAATTGATGACCAAAAAGGAAGGAACATCCCAAATACCAGAGTAGCACAGCTAATTCCAGAAGGGTGACAAATGGCTAGGCTCTTAAAGTGACCCTCTCCTGCCAATATAGCTCAGTCTTTGCTCCTCACAACAGAGTTCTCTTTCTCTTTCAGACAGATTAGCATTTAGAATATGGATATTTAATATCTGATGGGCCAGTTCATTATCTTTGACATGTTTGAGTTGAACTTTTGAACAGATAGCAAGTGATCTCAAGTGTGTTTTGCTTTAGGACAAATTTAAATCCCTCAGGATGTGTGGTTTGTGCATGGGACCTGTCACTCACTAGTGAAACATAGCTGATGCTCCTGAGTTTGCAGGTTAATGGGACCCCATTGCTCCCTTCTGGTATAGTCACAGTAACGTGGAAAAACATATGCTTAGTGGCATTCTCAAATTTTAGCACTCTTGAAGTTATTCTGTCAATTTTTTGTTAAGACCAAATGTCTAACATTATATTTTCTTTCTTCTTCCAACTCCAACAGTATTTTTGAACAGGCGGTTTACAGTTTTATTGAAACCATTGATAAATTGTAATATTGCCTTCTTGTTCTTGGATAAGCACATTCTCTCCTTCCTTCTTTCCTTCCTTCCCTCCCTCCCTCTCTCTACCCTTCCTTTCTCCTTCCCTCCCTTCTTCACTCATCCTCTTCTTTATTTAATAGGCTCTTGAACTCAGACCTGTGATTTTCCTGTTCCACAGAATCTTTATTTTTAGTCTCCTCCCTCAATCTTTCAGAGCAGTGTTACTTTATGCTGTAATCAATATTCAGCATATATATTTTAATTTTAAAGAACCATGTATATTCTTTTACATGGTTCTTTAGTTTACATTGCATTCTTTTAAATTAGTTTAGTGCTTTCATATGTGGTACTCAATTTGATTTCTATTTTCATGACCATATTTAGCTGTAGCACTAATTATCTGTTTTATAATATAACAAGTCAGAAAGACCTGAGCTAAAAATGAGCTTAGAAGACTACTAGCTGTGTTTGCACATATTTAAAATTGGGGTTTAACAGTACCTATTTTACTAGTTCATTGTACATAATGAAAGAAATAATGTATTACAAAAAATGTATTCCAAACCAGACATAAATAAAGAGGGATAAATGTTAGGGATGTAGGGGTAGGGATGTATAACTCTTACATTCACAAGCTCCTAATACAGTGCTTGGCACACAGTAAGTACTCAATAAATACATGTCAGCTGTTGTTTTGTCATGGTTCTTATACTGATATAGCCCTCATCTCAGTGTTTTGACAATTAAACCAAACGATGTGCATGTAAAGTACATAATAAAAGGTCTGACACAAAGTAGGTGATCTAGTTAGAATTATATTTTTAGAGACATATCATTAGGCAAATGATGGGTGAGTGTTCTTGGGAAAACATCTTCAGAAAGATTAAAGGTCTTTTGTTTTGTCTTTCTCAGGCATCCTGTTTTCCTTGGTGGTGATGCTGTACGTTATCTGGGTCCAGGCAGTGGCTGACATGGAAAGCTACAGAAACATGAAATTGAAAGACTGCTTGGATTTCACACTTTCTGTTCTGTATGGCTGGTCATTTTTTCTGGCCCCCGCAGGGATATTTTTTTCCTTGCTCTCAGGATTACTTTTTCTAGTTGTTGGAAGGCATATTCAGATACATCACTAATCAAACTGTAGCCACCAGTGTTTTCTTGACATATTTTATTTTTATTTGTTTAGTGATCCTAGCACAGAATTTGTTTATGTAACTTTTCAGTTGCTATTTGAATGAATTATTTTACTTGTGATTTTTCTCTTGTAAGAAGGTACTAGAATTTTTTGAGACACCAACATGTTTCCATCCATTTGAGTGCTATCAAGAACCTATTTTTTTTAGGGAGAAGGTAACATGACTTCCTTTCATAGAACTTGTCAGAGTTCACACAGGTTGAAAATATATGTAGGTATAATAATAGCATAATACCATCAGCTGGGGAAAATCAAGATGTGATTTGAAGCCTCCCTTTTGGCATTCACTTCTGTTGCTACTTAAAAAATAATCTTTGTAGAATAATTAAGAATGTAAAACATGTCAGAGAATTTACTCCATTTTCTCTCCCCACACATACATACCCACACAGATGACTCCGGTGAGTATCATTATTTAAAAATACATAGCAGATGTTCCTGTAGCAGGAGCCACACAAACTCATCAGTTAAAGTGGGCCACAGCAAAACTTTTTCCGCTTTCTTATCAACAGAAGTTTGATTACCTAATTTTTTCACTTAATTGTGCATGCTTACATAACATTTAATTATATTTAAAAGTATCAAATCTGTACATCAAAATACATATAATGCAGATTGGATTTTGAGAACTTAAAGTGGATTAATTACATATTTAATATAGTTGAAAATATGCAAAGACCAAGGACCTCAGCTGACTATATAATTCTATTTGATATTGTAAAGTTCTCATTTAATATTATATTACTACTATGTTCAACTTATGAAAATTTATTAATGCACAAAATACTTTCATAGGAGGGTGTTGATAACCTCACTTTATTGAAGTCTATGAAATAATAACTTTTCCAAGATTTTATGGGTTGTAGTTATTCTGATCATTTGATTTTCTTAATTATTGTCCCTCCATTTCTTCATTTTTACATCAGGAATGTAAACATTTACAAATTTCTATTGTCTTTAATCTCTTTGAAAAAAAAACAAACTTTTGCTTTTTTTTGCAAGGGGTGGGGTTAGGGGTGGGAGTAGAATAATTCCGTATAGACATTTTATGTATCAAAGATGTTTTCTTGGCACTAACTTTGATTGAAATCAAATCCATCTAGGAAGCTTAGGTCATTTTTTTTTCATTTTGGAAACTTCCACCATGGAGCAATCGGTTGTTCATGATGAAACAGAGTCCAGCATGGTGGTAAGCTTTTACCAGAAGCAGCATTTCATTGCACAGCTGGGTGGGTACAGAGGCAGGAGTCAGAGACAGACTGAGAGGCACCTAGAAGATGCTACAGAGTAGAGGGACTATCGTTTCTTTCCAGCTGGCCCATGAGGAGAGGTTTCCAGAGTCTTCACCACACAGCTTCTATTTTCCATTAGCCTCATTTTAATAAAAGGGATTTCTGGAGGAATAGCAAAGGTCTTAAGTATCTACAAAATCATGAGTGGCATTTAGTGTTTAGGGACAGTTAGGACTTGCATATAGTAGAAACAAAGAAATAAAATGAAAATACAACAAAACTAACTGTAACTGGTTTCTCAAGCCATTTCAATTATATCATAAACAATTTTTGTTACTTTCATTTGTCCTTTTCTGTTTCATTTTTATATTGATTCATTTAGTTATTTGCTTTTGGCTTGATGATTTGAAAAATAATTACAGGTTTTTCTCTGCATATTGACTGTGATATTAAATTATGGCATGCCATTAAGTTCTCCAGATGATGTTAGATATATTTGATTAATTCATGTCATCTGTAAATACAATTCTTTTTTTGTAGAAGTTTGGAATGGAGACTTTTCTGGTGTATTATTTGTCATTTAAATTTCAAATACAAGCTGTTTTCAGTAAAGTTTTGAATATTTATAAATTTCAGATGTTTATCCTCACTTTCTAATGTACTTATGTGGCTACCATGTATTTGCCATAAGGCAACTGTCTGAATATCTGATGTGCATGACACTTTTATACAGATCCACACTTTGGAAGTATTTTGTGGTTGTAATACATCAATTATATTAATGCTGATGCATTTCCTGATCTACCGCCAGTAATTGCAGAAGGGAGAAAAATGAGTTGTGTTTGCTTTCATGAGTAAAATGTACTTAAAAATAGCAGAGATATATGATATATTTTGTAATGATCTTATGTCTGATTTGGGATAGTATGTTTTCTTTTATTTCCCTATTAACTATATTAATTAATTTTCAGAAGATTCCAAAGCATTGAAATCTTGAGTGTTGATTTTGTATCATAAACTTTTTAATTTGACAAATATAGTATTTTTGTGATAATTCTAGAAGTGAAATAAGAGGGAGTGAATCATGTTACTGGACTTTTGTGATAACTGTGATCTCTCCATGTGGCATTTGTTCAGTGAATTTCCTTTGGCTGGGTAGCAGGTAGCAAGCATGTGCAGTGGCATTGCCTGGGAAAACCACACAGAGAGGTCAAATCATGGCGTTTAATTTAGGGGTTGAGGGCAGGACTTAAAAATACTATTATGTGTGCCCTTACTGGTCCTTTAGTCACTTTTATGACTAACCTATGGCATATATTTGTTGAAAGTGAAGATTAAATCCACTTATAAGTGTATATGGTGGAGGAGGTGTCAATATTTGGTAATTGTCATTTGTCATCAACACATGTGTGTGTGCATGTGTTATAAGTTTGGATCGAAATAGTAAATTGAATGATAAAAATAAATATATTTGAGATAAGCAAATTCTAAAAAATCATATTTTCTTGGGGAGCAGTACTATAGCTGTATTTCTCTGAGTGTCATTTTAACTGTTTCAGTCCACTGATGATGAGGTCTACTCAGTTCAACACAAAACTCAATTTATATGTTTGTAAAAGTAGCCAAATTAGGCTTATTATAAGAGACTTGGAACACCAGAAGAGTTAGGTACAAATGGGATATTAGTAAAAGTAAGCTGGGCATATGTGTGCAGGTGGCTAGCATTGCAGGGAAAGACCAATAGTGTTGGGGTAATATGGCAAGATATAGGAGGACTGTCTGGGAAAAGTCAAGCCATGTTAATATAAAGAAAATGGTTTATGCAACATCTATGTAAATGATAGATGGCTCTCCTTGGCTCCTGGCAGCCAAGGAGAGTGGACTGGAATGTACTTGTGTGAACAATAAAAATTTCACTGTACTAGTCAGTGAGGGTGGTAGATGCTGTTGAGTAAGCATGTGAACTGTGTGACCATCACATTCAAAGTGACTGAGTGAGTGAGTAGAGCAATGAATCTGCATCATACTTTGCATTAGGCTTGAACATCCCTCTGTGGAAACTATTCTGATGACTCAGAAGGCTTTTGGGAATGATAAAATGAGTATGGCATAAATAAATTTGTGGCACAAATGCTTCAAAAATGGTTGAGAATCTGTTGAAAGTGCTCTATGTTCTGGATGGTCTGCAACAAGCAGAACACCTGAGAATGTTGAACGTGCACAGGCAGTCAACAAAGATTGGTGACCCAGCTGACTCACCCCCATAGAGCCAAGATTTGGTGCCCTGTGATTTCTGGCTTTTCCCAAAACTGAAATCACCTTTGAAAGGGAGGAGATTTCATACCATTGATGATATCAGGAAAATTGTCAAAGTAGGGCAGCTGATGGGGATTCTAACAAAGGATTTTGCAGAGTGTTTTGAACAGTGAAAGAGACACTGGGAGAACTGTGTGAGGTCCAAGGTGACCACTTTCAAGGGATCTGAGGCATCATTGCCCTATGTACAATGTTTTTTGTATCTTCTTCAATAAATGTCTGTATTTTAGCCAGTACTTGGCTGGATACTTTCTGGACAGACTTCATGTTAATGGGTAAGAAGATGGGTCCCCGATTTGATTTTGGTGGGACTCCATCAGCAGTTTGGGGGCTCACACAAAAGAAATGATAATAGAAACTAAATGTTTGTTGATTGTCTGAAGGAATTGAATATATTGAGGCATTTTCTTAGTAGTGATCAGTGTGGGTAGAAAAATTCCAACAAAAACTTAGGAAGATAGTATATGAGATATGTTAAAAACCAAGGAGGGTGGGGAAGTATTTACTACCACATGTATTATAATAAGCAGAAACTAAACAAAGGACTATTTAATCTGGTTAGCAGGAAAAGAGGAAAGAAAGATAAGTATCCAGTTAGCATTTAGAATTTCTGAACTAGCAAACCAAGGCAAATGCTAGCAGCTGTGTCTTCAGGAACTTTTGAATCCTCCTGGACTACTAATTATTAGAGAATAAGTCTAAAGTCACCATGGAGAAGTATTGAGTCCCACTTTGCCTTTTGAAGGGTCATTTTTCTTACCAGTGTGTACCTGATGTGAAACATTGAAGAGGCAATTGGTTGACTGAACTTTTTTCATAATGTGAAGAATCACATGGAATATCTAATAATTCTATTTTGCATATATGTATGAATATATATAGTTTATAAGATATCCATAAATAAATTAGAATGATTTTGAGTTCATTAAGTAATGATTTTTCTGGTTCACACAAATGGCGAGAATATTGGCTTTATGAAATAAGAATGACTGGAGTAATTGGTAACCTGCCCTGATCCTGAATATTATGTACATTATTTAGCACTGGGGGATGACTCACTGGGGTAAGTACACACAGCAAAAATTTTAATATTCTCATTCTTCTGGGAGTCTAGGAGTTATTCTGACACATTCACTGAAAATGTAGATGGTTCCTCCTTTATGTGGCAATTTCTTTTTTATTTGTATTTTTCTCCATTCCTCTTAAAGAGAAACAGTCACTGTTAAATAATTCACCAATACCTGCAAATAGCATTGACATGGAAAACTATCTAAATAAACAGATATTTAAACAATATAGCTTTTTCAAAGAGTTATATGGCCCTGACCAGTATGGTTCAGTTGGTTGGAGCATAATCCCATAAACCTAAATGTCTCTGGTTTGATTTAAGTTAGGGCACATATCTAGGTTGCCCGTTCAATCCCTGGTCAGTGTGCACATACTGGAGGCAACTTACTGATGTTTCTTTCTCACGTTGATGTTTATCTCTCTCTTTCTGTTTCACTCTGGCTCTCTCTCTCTTTCTTCTTTCCCCTTCCTTTCAAATGGAAATAAAATTATCCTTTAAAAAAATAAAACTGTGACATGTAAAGAATTATGCTTGCTGCCTTATATTTTGGAGTGGGTTATACAAAGACACTATAAGAAATATTTATATGTCATCTTCACTTCCCCCAAAAATACAAGAAAAATTTTCTCAAAAATTTTATGGGCATATGTAAATATTTGAAGAAATGTCATACAGAAAGTTGAATTAACCTCTGTGTGAGTGTGTGTGTACATATATACCCAAATACCTATGCATGTTTTTATGTATGTATTATGTAGTATGTATACACATCTATATAAAAATTTGGATAAAGTTGTATATATATAATTATGAATAGATGCACATCTGAATATGCACACATAATTTTCACATCTATAATGTGTATATGTATGTATGTAAGAAATGCTTCCATTTAAATTTCTTTCTGTCTCAAGCATGCCTGAGCTTTAACTTTTGCTGAAAAGTGGCGTATGTTTCATCCTTAGAATATTGTGTCCTCTTCTAGTGGTGAGTTGGATACAGGGGAAATTCAGTGACTGGTATCATGACCTCTCTCTCTCTCTTTTTTTATCCAGCGCATATGTGGCGATGCATGTGCAGACTGGTCATGTCTTACCCTATGAATGCCCATAGGCAATGACCCTATCTTCTAGTATCTTCTAGCAATGGAAACTTAGCAATTTGATAGCTGTTGGTGCATATTTTTAATAGTTATAAATTTTGTTTTATAAAATATTTCCTTTCTAAAGCAACATACCTTAAATTGTACATTCATCTAATTCCCCTGAAGAAGATTAAGTTAGGTGGATTCCCATGAGCACCTTATTTATGTCACCTTAAGGAGGATCCTGTGGTACGGTAGGAAAAGTGAGAAATCTGTGTATGAAGACCTACATTTTAATCCTGGATTTTAAACTTATAACTTTAAAAGTTACTCCACCCCACCTGGGCTCAATTTCTTCATCTAAAATATTTACAAGCTTATTCAACAATAGTAACTGTGTCACAGATGATGTTATATACTGGATATATTTTACTAAACAAGACAGATATGGTATTTTCATTCTTCAAGCTAGGATTAAAAGAAAGAATATAGAAAACAAATAAGTAAACCAAAGATAATTGAATTTATAAATGGTGATAGATACTTTAAAGTTAAATACACAAGATGTAATGACAGATAAAACCATAATTGATGGATAGTCAGGGAAGTCTTGTAAGAAAAAAAATCTGAATTGAAGAAGAAAATTCTGAGTATACTGACAAATAAAAGACATGAACAGGCCATTAGGATGAAAAGTGGTAGTATGAACTTTTCATGGAGGGGCACTAGTGGGAGAGAAGGCCTGGAAGTAGAAAAGAGCTTGGCTTATCCTAGGAACAGGAAGGTGGCTTGTGTGGCTAGGCACTAAAGGGAAGAGGTTTGTGATGAATTTGGAGAAGTAAGAAAGGACCAATTATACTGAGCCCTTGATCCATTACAGTATATTTTGAAGGAAAAAATTGAAAGAACTTGCTGGTGGATTGATTGGGCACGGGATGACAAAGAGGGACAAATCAAGACTCACTCCAAAATTTTCCAGCTTAAACAAGTGACTAGATGGAGGAAACTGGAATAAAACAGGAAAGGAACAGACTCAGTAATAAAAGAAATCCATGTTTCATTTTGATGATGTAATGCTTGAGATGCCTATAAAGTGTCCAAGTTGTAATATTGGCACATAATTGGATATAAGTGTCAGGAGCTCTGAGGAACAATTTGAGATAGAGACTCACACTTGGAAGTCACCAAATTTAAAGTCACTAGGAAGATGAGACTTTTCTGAAGTATGAAGAGAAAGAGAGAGTAATTCTCTCTGCACTGGAACACTCAACATTTAGAGGAT